AAAAAAAAAAAAAAAAAAAAAAAAACCTTAACTTTTGCTACTCCGGTCCGCAATAAGTAATTCTTTGGCTGTTTTCATACGGATTAAGAAATATACCTTTTAACATTAATTAGCAATAAAATTGACCATATTAACTTTTACTATCTCTTCACATAAACACTCCTAACACATAGTCCAACATTATTTACTCCAAGGGTAATTTAGAAAAAAGATAATTAATTCATTCTTGAAATCTGAAAAAAATAGATATTTTGGACCACAAGAAAAAGGCTAAACAATTACTTATTGTGGATAAAAAAAAACATTTATATATGGTTGCATTTGTGTGTAAACGTAGGTAGTAAAAGAAGCATTGTTGAGAACAGTGAAAGAAGCAATGGGAGAGAAATGGAGCGAAGACGTGAAAGAAGCATGGGGTGAAGCCTACGACCAATTGGCTGCTGCCATTAAAGCTGAGATGCACGCTGAGGCTGCTGCAACCTAGGCCTAGCGTTCATGTTCTGTTTTTCTTATGTATTTGTGGATTATATTATGTCCATTGCCTTTAACGTATGTTATAATGAAGTATCTTAATTAATTAAATGAATAAAAGGGTGTGCTTGATCATAAATGTTCCTCCACTTTAGATTCTTAAATTACTATCATATACTTCCTATTTCCTACGTCCGTTCACTTTTACTTGTCAATTTTAGTAAATCAAAAAAAAGAAAAAGACTGCTCATTTTCCAAATTATTTTTTGATACTTTTTGAGATGTTATCATTATTACTTATAAAATATATACTTCATTTATTTTTTCTTAAAGGGAGTGCAACGTCAAAAGAATAATTAAATATGAATGGAGAGAGTATATAGATTTATGGAAGACAAATGTTTAAAAATTATTTTACATAGGTAAAACGTTCGCATACACCAAGAAAGAGATAGTAACACTGTTAAAAAGCCAAAACGTTTGAAGGAAGGACATCAACTCACTATCCTGCAATAGTTAAGATGGAGGTTTCTGAACAGTAAACTTTTTTAATCATACCCACTGTCTACATTAAATTAATTAATTTAACATTAACAATGAAAACTTAAAATGAAAGTGCATATATTAATTTGATATAGATGTACTATGAGAATAAGTTGTTGCACCAAAAACCTACAATATACTATAAAGTTAGCGTAAACGTAAAAGGAAAGAAAAATATCTACTGAACCAATTATGGAGGCTCCCAAAACGCTCTATGAATATGTCTCTCTCTGCCAAACAAAAGGACCACAATAATGGAAATCTGACCACAAAAGTTCAAATTGTGAGAAAGAGAAACGCCCCTATATACTCTTTCCATTTCAATTGACATGAGGGGTGGCTTGACTTGGAACGGATTAAAAAAAAGATTTTTAAATTTATGGTTCTAACGTAAAGTTTTGTGAGACCATAATTTTTATATGGCTATAAAAACTTCTCATTAAAGGTAAAATGAGTAATTAAAAAGTTTAAATTTAAATTATTTTTAAATATAAAAATATATTTTTTTTTTACGGACTAATACGAAAAGCGTATCATATAAATTGAAATAAAGGGAGTAGTAAATAGTGCAAATCAAGGTTCTTTAATAGAGTCAGAGCGAGGATTTGAAGCTTATGAGTTCGGGATTCTAATTCTTTTAAGTTATTGAGTTCTAAATTAATAATTTGTACATGTGCAATGAATTTTGTAAGACAAATACGAGATTTGAACCAAAGTTATTGGGTTACGTCGAACTCGTAAATAACATGTTGGCTCCGCCCTTGTTTAGAGGCGGCTCAACCCATTTCGGAGCCTAAAGCCAAACTCCAATGTGAGGCCTTAAATTAGAAGAAAAAAAACTTGTATCATTATTTTTATTTAATTTCCATTTTCCTAGCTCTGTGAGATATAAAGTTATTAATAATTTTTTTATAATTTATTTCTTTTAACAATTTCTTTTCAATTGATAAAATAACTAATCTATTAAATCTCTCTTGAGACATTGTCAAAATATAAAAAATAACGAATTTTAAACAAAAAATAGTAAAAGGTTAGACAGCAGAACCTGATTGACTAATTCAATTGATAAGTTACCAAAATAACTTTTTGCTACTTCTGTGCTTCAAAACTTGAAGAAAAACAAAAAACAACACAAATTTCTATTTTCCGTGTATGTAAAGAAAATTGAAAATATTCTCACCTTACAAACTTAGGATTTTGTTCCACAAAAACGAATGACAAAAATCTTGTGTGCGCTTCTGACAGAAGGGAGTACTTTGAATAAGGTAAAGAAGATAAAATACTATGATGAGAGTGTAGTTATAGTTGTGAGAATATAAATATGAAAAAAAATCAATCCCAAAAAAGTTCACCTTTCCCAAATAATATTCCATACTTCCGAGGTGAAAAAGATTTATATGTCACCCCAAAATTCCCTCCGTAGGATGTCGTGACGGTACCTAATCTCTAATACTAAGTAAGCCTAACAATATGCGAAAACATCAAATAAAAACTTAAAATTTTAAAACTTCAACAATTTCATCAATAGACTATAAGCTCAATACGTACAATTTCTCAAAACCCGGTGAGATATGAGTCATAAACTTTAGATACAATGCTGAACAATCACATACATCACTGTCTATCAAAAACATAAAGAAATAAGAAAAACAGGGTAAAAGGGGACTCTGAGGTCTGCGGACACGGGCAGGTGTACCTTGAAGTCTCCAAAGCAGCAACACAACACACTAATACCGAGGCTGATAGGATGTACCTGGATCTGCACAAAACATGTGCAAAAGCGTAGTATGAGTACACCACAATGGTGCCCAGTAAGTGTCAAGCCTAACCTCGGTAAAGTAATAACGAGGTCAGGTCAAGACCCTACTGGTGAAAATAAGAAACAAGACAGAAAATATAATGACATAATGAAGTAACAGGGAAGTGAAACAATAAAGAATTTACGAAAAATAACAACACGGAATCAAAGAAACAAATAAAACCACGAAAGGAAAATAAGGATTTTACATGTTAAGGAAACAACAACCAAACAATACAGCAAGTAGAGAAGATCAACAGGGGCACTCCCGAGGTACCGCCTCGTAGTCCCAAATCATAAAAATAAATCACAGTCTTTCCTTATATCATCGCGAGAGCCTTTATATTTGGTTTTGAAAATTATTTTTCCAAAATAGCATCCCGCATTTTAGCCCACCTTATCACACCGCATGGCTTCTAATAGTTCCCTTACTAGCCACGCGTATCAAGCACACCTTATCTCACCGCATGCGTTTTAACACCCAGACCTTATACCACCGCATACATATCAATAATCACAATGGCACGGCAGAAACCTCGTGCAAACAATAACAACCGAATGGCAGAAACCTCGTACAATAATAACAACAACACGACAGAAACCTCGTGCAAACAACCAAACAATCACCTCAACAATAACATGAAAGCCAAAATACAATAATTAAATAAACGATTTTTCACAACTTACACCTTGCCTCAAAGAACCACGACCTTGCAATTCAACACCAAACTCAACAACAAGATATTTCAAGGATAGCAATTTCAAGTAAAGAGCTCCACAATTAAGTAATGAATACGAAAATCAAGTAATTTAACTAAACATGTGATACAAATTACAAATAGGAGATAAGACAAGTAGACATATGAAATTAGGCTAAACATGATGACTATAACATGCTAAAATAACTCAATTAAGGCATGAAAAGGAAATTACGTAGCAAAAACTGGAATTTCAACATTTAGCCTGTGTACGCACTCGTCACCTCGCGTACACGACCTTCACATATCACAAATTATCACCAAAATACCAAATCCTAAGGGAAATTTTCCTCATGCAAGGTTAGACAAGTCACTTACCTCAAACCACGCTAATTCAATCAATTAGAAGGCCTTTCCCTCGATTTTTCAACTCCGAACAACTCGAATCTAGCCAAAATAATTTCATACTATAAATATAACTGTAGGAAACTAATTTAAATAATCAAATAATGATCTTAACTAAGAATTGAAAAATCTCTCCAAAAAGTTAACTCGGGCCTACGTCTCGGAACCCGACCAAAATTATAAAATCCGAACACCCATTCGATATCGAGCTCAACAATACAAGAATTATCCAAATCTGACCTCATTTAGCCTTTCAAAACCCAAAAACTTGATCTAAGAACTTCTACACCCCCCCCCCCCCCCCCCAATATTTTCACCCAAAATCTCTAATTACATGATGTAATCAATGATAGATTAGTGAAATTTAATTAAAAACGAGTTAAGAATTCTTACCCCAACACTTCCTCTGAAAATCCCTAAATCTCGCCTTAATCCGAGCTCTCAAAGTCCAAATGTGAAATAAGAGAATGAACCCTAGTTTTGGAATTTAAGTCGTCTGCCCAGCTAATTCCTTCTTCGCGAACGCGAAAAATTCCTCGCGTTCGCGAAGCACAAAGATGCTATTGACCAGATTTCCTCTTACGCGAACGCGAGGGTCCACCTGCGAACGCAGTGACCAAGGGTTCTCAAGCTTCGCGATCGCAAAGCCCTTCTCGAGAACGCGTAATCCAGCTCGCAATCGCGTAATCCAGCTCGCAATCGTAGAGCACCAAGCCATGCCCCTTCGCGAACGCGTGGCCATCTTCGCGAACGCAAAAGGTAAACTTCCAGCAAATCTCTGAAGACTCTACGCGCGCGAATGCGGGAGCATCATCGCGAAAGCGTAGAAGGACACCAGAACTAAGAAAAACTAGCAACTTCAGAAATTCTTCGAAGTTCCGAAATGCGTCGAACATGGTCTGAATCACACCTGAGGCCCTCGGGGCCTCATCCAAACATACCAACAAGTCTTAAAATATCATACAAACATGCTCGAAGTGTCAAATCACATCAAACAATACTAGAATAACGGATCACGCATCGATTCAAGCCTAAGAACTTATGAACTTCCAAATTCTGAAACCAACGCCAATTCATACCAAAAGAACTCCGATTAACCCCAAATTTTGCACACAAATCCTAATTGATATTATAGACCTATTCCAAATCCCAAAATAAAATTCGACCCCGATATCAAAAAGTCCACTCCCAGTCAAACTTTCCAAAAATCTTCCAACTTTTCAACTTTCGCCAATTAACGCCGAAATGACCTACCGACCTCTAAATCAACATCCATACATGCTCTTAAGACTCAAATAACCATACGGAGCTATTGAAACTGCCAAAACTCCATTCCAGAGTCATTTTTTACACAAGTCAAACTACGGTCAACTCCTACGACTTAAACCTCTAATTTAGGGACTTTGTGTCCCATTCCACTCCGAAACTCTCCCGAACCCGATACTAAGCGTCTCGGCAAGTCACATAACCACAAAATAAAATAGAGGGAGCAATAATTAGGGGATCAAGGCTAATACTCTCAAAACGATCGGTCGGGTCATTACATCCTCCCCCTCTTAAAATAAATATTCATACTCGAACGAGTATAGAGACATATCTGAAGTGATGAAAAGATGAGGATAACGGCTACGCATATCATGCTCGGTCTCTCAAGTCGCCTCATCGAATGACTGACCCCTCCACTGGACCTTAACTGAAGCAATGC